TCTAGAGGCAGCACATAATCCATGCACAAAAGAAATAACAGGAGAACCCTTGGGAAGAACTTGTGACCACTGCCATACTTGTCAACACTGCAGCAGCCACCAGGGGGAAGTCGAGGGTTAAATACAGGAGTAGGCAAAAGTAGGTTTACAGTTGTGAGTCTATGAAGTTTATTCTTGTATTATTATTTATTAATTATTGTACTGTTTTCCATACGAACAACTATGCCCACTCCTGTAAGTATATCTAGTGTTTTACTAACAGAAGACAGAAGGATCCTTCTCCACACACTTTTTTTTTAACAGAAGAGGAGGCTGAAGGTCTGTGAATATAACTGCCTTGCTCAAAGTCTTACTATTAGTGAGTATCAAGGCCATTGTCAAATTCTGGTCTCTGAACTTAACATTTTGTGCTCTATGATGCAAAACGTAGGTCCTTTCCTAGACCTGACCCCACAGACTCAGACTGGTCCTAAAACTTTCCAGGGGCAGAAAGCAGTCTCTGTTTGCCATGAGAGAGGTGAATCAGCATTGCTCTGTCTCTAAAATAGCAGAAATTCATCTAGGATTGGTCCCTGGGCCAGAGATGAGAATCACAGCTTGGGAAAGAGGTAGGGTTTAGGGAAGTGAGTAGGTTTTGAGCTCTTGAATTTGCCTTCTTCAGGTATGTTGTAATTCTTCTTGATATTAACTGGGAAAGGACAGCCTCACTCTCACATACATCCATGACAGAATTTCAGAGCTGGAAAGGTTCTTAAAGGTCATTTCCTCCAACGTTAAACCTGGCAGATAAAGTTCCCAACAAGCAGAATATCTCAGTGCTAGTACATTTGCTACATTCTCAGAGGGCCCATTCTACCTTTCCCAAATTGCTCTAAGCATTAGACAATTCTTTCCTTCATCAGGTATGCATTTGCCTCTGTGGACTTATAGCTGTTGTCCTAGGTCTGTTATCTGGGATCAAAAGGGACAAGTTTCATGCCACTTCCCATAATAGGCCTCCAGAGGTCTGAGGGCATCTGTAAGGCCCTTTCCCACCTCTCCTCAGCTCAACTCCTCTCCACCACAAAAGTAGCAGACCCATTTCCTATGAAAGTTAGAACAGTTAAAACCACCTGTGCCAGGTAACATCAACCCCGTGAACTGCTACTTCCTTTTTAAAATTATTTATTCACTCATTTATTCATGAATCTGAGGGATTTTCCTTAGCTACAGATGAGCAAACAGGCTCAGAGAGGTCAGGAGATTTGCCTACTTCACAAAGCTTCCAAAGGCTGATAAGGGAGTCACACAGTCTTCCTGGTATCTAAATTCATGCTCAGAACCATATCTCCCACCATCACCACTCACATAAACATAAATTAATTTAGAGCTGGCCTCTTGGCTCTAAGAGAGGAAGCAGGATATGGAAAAGAGATGGGGTTTCAGGAATCACCATCAGATGCTCAGATCAAAGGTGTATGTGACCCCAGGGGGTACTTGGGAAACACACATGCAAACACAACCATGTGCAGAGCTCAGTCGCCGTGTTCACTGGCTCTGTGGCTTATCCTGCTCACCTTGACAGAGAAGATATTTGCAGTGTGTCCCGTATGCATGGAGAGCAGCTTCTTGTGGTGCAGCGGGTCCCACACAATCGTGTGCTGGTCATCGGAACCAGAGGCCAGCAAGCTGCAAGCAGAGTGAGGGGTTCTGACCTCTCCTCAAGTTCGTGGGCAATTTTCCCCTATCCCACATTCCCAGGTGATAAGGTGTTAGGCCACACAGAACTTAAATCACAGTATATGTCACAGATTTTAAGACTATCTTGTAAACATTGGCTGATTCTCTTCTATTTGTCCTGAGAATTTGCCATTATTCCTTAAACTCTGCATTGACTTATTAAAAAAACAGGGTTTGGATGGCCATCCAACCTTCCATCTATCTGGGCTTCATTGTTTAACTGTGTATTGACAGTGATGGACTAAACTAAACTACGAAGCAGAGAGCAGCAGTCTTTTCACTTGGGTCCCTTTTTTTCCTTAGATCTAGGAAAAGGATCTCCCAGCTGCCTCACTCCCTTTCTTTAGCATCCCCTTCCCCCGTGCTCTAGCTCATACTTACTCTCCTTTCTCGTTCCACTCCAGACAGTTGACACATCCTGAGTGACCCTGGGTAAGCAAATAGAAAGGGATAAGAAGAGAGCCAGTTAGAGGTTCTCCTGGGGAACTCAACACCAAAAAGTAGAACTGAACAGGTAAACTAATCTTTCCATCATCAATGTTTTCCAGGTGCGTGTGAGTGACCAGGACTGAATTAAATTGCCTGGCATCTTACAATATATAAAGTACATTCATTGTCATGATTTTACTTGACATTGAACACCCCTGAGTCATAAAGTTCAGGTTTCATTGGTCCCATTTTGCAGAAAATTAAACTTAAGTTCAGATAACAGTAACAGAAGTGAGATCCAAACAAATTTCTGCTCCTACCACTAGAAGGAACATGTCAACAGTCCCTTCGAGGGATAGCCCCTCAACCACAGACAATTTTCCCAGAGAAGCATCTGACCCAAGGATGATCTTTCATTCTTTTGGCATATATTTAATTTATTGAGCACTCACTGCATACCAGGTACTGTTCAGATGCTGGGGGCAGATCACTGTACAAATCACAGTCCCTGCTCTTCTGCGTTAACTTCCAGTAGAAGGAGCCTGGTATAGTAAGGTACATTGGGCTAGTTTCTTGAGCTTGGAGATATGAATTAAGAAACACCGAGGGTGAGGCAGTTAACCGATGCTAAGGTTGAAAGCATGCAGAGAGAAATCATGGCAAAGCTAGAATTACCAGAAAACAGAATCCATGAAAAGCAGAAGGTATGAGGTGGCAGAAACAAGTCTTACATGGGAAAAGGAGAAAACAAATCACTAGGCATTCCTACATACTGTTCTTTCTGTTCCCTCAGCCTCCTTCATTCCTAATAGTACCTAGATTTTCATCTAATCATCTCCCTGTCCAAGTTAGACCATGTGTTTCAGGAAGGGAAAATCCATTGTTCTCTCCAGTGATAGGTTCAGAAACTTACGCCTAAGCCAAATTGGAGGTGGCATTCACTTGGGCATAGGAATTGGCTCAGAAATGACCCTGTGACCCCAATCAGAGGCAAGGGGGACAGTTGCTGGGAGCTTCTGGGAAAGGAGTTTTCTCATTCTCAGGAGCGAGTCTATGAAAGAGATGCCTTCTTCCTCTGGATGATGGGAGTACTGATGTGACACCTGGAATTGCCACCACCAGGGAAGCCAGGCAGAGAGTGAAACTGAAGGAGGAAAGCCCAGTCCAGGGAATCATGGAAAAATGGAGCCAGAGTGACCAGCACAACTAACCCAGATGCCTAGTCTACTCCTGGACTTCCACTTAAGTAAGCCAATCAATTCATAACTGTTTAAAGCCATTTGAGTTGGGTTGTTACTTGTGGCCCAAAGCATCCTAACTAACAAACTCCAACTCATTCTTCAGATTTCACTTTATAGGCACTTCCTTGAAGATGCCTTTCCTGTCGTGTGAATTTGGGAGGGAGGCATACGCTTCCTGTGGGCTCCTACTGTCACACTGTATTATGGCTCTGTGTTGACATGGTGGTTTGCCTCACCAGACTGAGCCCTGAGAAGCAGGCTTTTGTGTATTGTACTCATTGCATCTCCAAGGCCAGTTATAGTCCTTCGCACATGTCTGCTGCATAAACGAACACATGAGTCAGTGGGACTAATGGGAAGAATGAAGAGATATGAACAAATCTAATTCCCCGCCTATCCGTCAAAAAAGGCCTTTCCTTGGCCTTCTCCTTTCCTTTTACCTTTTGCTCTATACAGAGTCTCATCTGGGTTGAACCTCACTTCTTTCCAGGTTCTGCACTTACAAACATTGCAGACACATTTCCTCTCCCCACACTTGTCAGAGCACTTGCTGACCTGAGGCCTCTCACTTGCCTGTGGCACTTGGTTGCAACCCCACCCATAGCTTTGGTCACACTTTCTAGGTCAGAATCATTTCTGTCCTCAGCCCTCGCATTTTTTTCAACTGGCTGTCAATTACTTGGACCTGGGGGCCACATCTTCCCAGCTGACCCTGAACAACTCATTGCGACCATCACCTCAAAGAACTGTTTGGTAGTTTCAGATAAAGTTAAGCTTATATCTATCTACCCTGTGACCCAGTAATTCCATTTGTAGGCATTTACTTGAGAAAAATGAAAACATTTATCCATACAAAATCTGGTTTAAGAATATCTATACACGATTTATTTTTAAAAGCCCCAAACTGGAAATAGCCCAAATGGTCATCAACTGGAGAATGGATAAACACAATGTAGTACATCCATACAGTGTATCACTACTCATCAATACAAAGAAGCAAACTAGATATGTGCAACACAGGCGAAACTCACCGAGGATATTTTTCCATTGATTTTAAGAGAGAGTGGAAGGGAGCGGGAGAGACAGAGAAAGAAACATTGATGTGAGAGATACACATAGATTGGTTGCCTCCCGCACACCAGGGTTGGGATCAAGCCTGCGACTGAGGTACGTGCCCTTGATGAGAATCGAATACGGGACCCTTCAGTCCAAGGGCCTATGCTCTATCCACTGAGCAAAACTGGCTAGGGCCATGCTTTTCCTTCTGATCTTTGTTACCTGCTCCTTCTCAATGTTCAAATTTCATTTCAAACATCACTTCATCAGAGTGGCTTTCTCAGACCACTGTATCTAAAGTATATCCCATTACCATGGTTTGATATGACTTGTTTCTAGTGAATTTACATTAGAATTATATTAAAACAAAAGCAATTAAGCCAGATTGTGAAGGTAAGATATATAATGTTTGCAACTTGTTTAAAGAAAATATTAAGAAAACAAATAAGGCAAGAGAATAAATCCACCAAGCCAAGAACTATTTGTTAAGTCCTTTAAAAGAGTAGGCACAGAGTCCTTGCACGGCTCCACAGAGTGGACACCCCGGACTCCAAGATGGTGTCATTCATGCCATTGAAGGAGAAGAGACTGATGGAAGTCAAAATAGGGGAGCTGCCACGCTGGAGACTGATGCAAGATTTCACCCCTAAAGGTTACCACAGGAATTACAACAAGTACTTCAAAGTGAAGAAAGGGGGCATTGCTGGCGTTTCTATGGTGCTGGCAGCTTATGTGTTTTTCAACTACTGCTGTTCTTATAAGGAACTAAAACATGAGCAACGACGCAAGTACCGCTGAAGAGGGCCCAGTGTGGACTCCACATTACTGACCATGACCTTTGCCCAGCACCTCTGAATCCTTTCATACTGTAATGTAACACCTAATAAAAGGTGGCTGGTTAAAAAAAAAAAAAAAAAAAAAAAAAAAGAGTAGACACATGGTTGGAGTCAAAAGAATATGAACTATGGAGCCAGACAGTCCTGATATAAATATTAATCTTTTACCATTCATGTGACCTTGGAAATGCTCAGTTTTATTCTCCTCATCTGTAAAGTCAGATTCCCTTCCTCACAGCTGAGTGGAACAAAGCCTAGGACAGAGCCATAAAGAAGACCAACATAAGGGCCTGATGGACAAGGAGTATGCAAAGGGCATCAAGAAAGACACGAGAGGAGTAGGAAGGAAAACAGAGGGTGATGCCTCAGAACCCAGATGACAAAAGTTTTCTTGAGAAGTGTCCAGTACTACCACATACTGTCGGATCAAGCTAGATGAGGACTAAGAAGTGTCCATTGATTTAGGGCAAGAAAGCTACAGTGGTAACCTTGGCAAGAGCCACTTTTGTGGTGTATGGTTAGATAAATAGAAGTAGGTTGAGGAATTCATTGTGTGCCACATTCGGTATTTTCAGTCGATGATGAGCCACATATGTGATATAACATAGAGCCTAGGTGTGTAGGAGGCTCTCCCATCTAGGTTTGTGTAAGCACACGCAAGGTGTTGCACAATGACAAAATCATCTAACAGTGCATTTCTCAGAATGAATCCCTGTCGTTAAGCAGCACATGACAGTACTGGGAAGTGAGGAAGTAAGAATACCGAGTATAGACTACTCTTTCAGTCTGGCTATGAAGGGGAGAGAAACAGAAGGCTATAGCCAGACGTGGCTGTGGCATCAAAGAAGGACTTTCTTATATCAGAGAAGCATGAGCATATTTAATCCCAAGGGGAATCAATAGAGAAAGGGAAGGTTAAAGATATAGGAAAGCTGAAAGATCACCTGTGGTTGGGTTTTGTCAGATTAATGTTGCAAGAGAATGACTGTAGTAATGAGTCATTGATTCTTAGGAGATAGGGAAGGAAGTAAAGACATGAAGTAGCTTGTAAGGAGAGAATAGAGGGGTTGACTGGGCTTGGAGGACTTGTTGAGGATGCAATCGTTGAGGCATGATAGATATATGTATATACTCTTTTTTCACTTACTAATATATCTAGGAAATCACTCATATCAACTAATAAAATTCTTTTTCATAGCTGCATAGCACTTTATATGCAGATGAGCCAAGATTTATTCAACAAATTTCCCATGTATGGATTCTTAAGAGTTGTTTCTAATAGTTTGCAATTAGTGTTGGCCAAAGAGTAAATGTATATGTGGTCCTGTTAGATATTGCCAAGTTCCCGTCCATGGGAGTTGCATCATTTTGCCTTTCCAGTAGCAATGCATGAGAGTGCCTGTTTCTCCACAACTTACCAACACACTGTGTGGTTAAGCTTTTGAATATTTCACCATTCTGACAGATGAAAAATGGCATCTCCACGTAGTTTGAAGTTACATTTCTCTTGTGAATGAAACTGAATATCTTTTCCATATGTTTAAAGGCTATTTTAATATAATTTTTGTCAATTTTGGTGTAACAAAATTGAAAATAAGAATTTATGTATGTGGCCCTGACTGGTCTGGTTCAGTGGATAGAGCATCAACCTGTGGACTGAAAGGTCCCAGGTTCGATTCTGGTCAAGAGCATGTACCTTGGTTGCAGGCACATCCTCAGTAGGAGGTGTGCAGGAGGCAGCTGATCGATGTTTCTCTCTCATCAATGTTTCTAACTCTCTATCTCTCTTCCTTCTTCTCTGTAAAAAATCAGTAAAATATATTTTTTTAAAAAGAATTTATATATGTGGATCTGCATATTTTTGCAAACACAAACACAAGCACAGAATGGATAAGTGGAAACTAATGAAGTTGGTTACCACTAGGGGGTGGAAGGTATACGATGAAGGATAGAGAAAGGGTATGAGTAATCCTGCTCTGGACCTTTTTGTAGAGTTTTTACTTTTAGAACAAAGTTGAACCTGGCCAGTATTGCTCAGTGGTTGAGCATCGACCTATGAACCAGGAGGGCACAGCTTAATTCCTGGTTGGGGCACATGCCTGGGTTGCAGGCTCGATCCCCAGTAGGAAGCATGCAGGGGGCAGTCGTTGTTTCTTTCTCTCTCCCTCTCCCTTCTTCTCTGAAATCAATAAAAATATATTGGGGGGGGGGAAGGCCAAGGCCCCCCTACTTAAATTCTGAATCCCATACCCATCAGCCTTCCCCAAGACTTTGGTCCTTCAGTTATTCTGTCCTTCTCTTATATCAGCAATCCCTTCCTCTCTCATCAACATATAAAAATGCTCTAGCATTTCTTCCCATTCTTACAAATCCTTTCTTTAGGGGAGTCCTATTGACCACTTCACCTACTGCCCCATTCCTCTGCTTTCTTCTGTAAACAAAGTTGTTCAAAGTTGTCTATATAACTCAATAAAGCTGGGGGGAGGGAGGAGAAACAAAACAAAAACAAAACAAAATGACTTTGAAGGGCGGAAGCAAGGGGAATAAAGAAGATGTCATTCTTCCTCCAATCTCCTGAAATGACTCCCCATTGGTTACAGCAAACCAAAAGACAGGACAAGAGAGAACATTAATATTCCTGTGCAAGTCAGCTGTCCAGGCAGTGAGCTGAAGAAAGGTAAAAAGTAGATGTAGAGGGGCAAGAAAATATAACTTTTAAAGATTATTCTTTTTACTGCTTATATTCTATTATTCCTTTCATCTAGGGAAAAAGTTTGTCCTAAATAAATAAACAAAAACAAATTCCCATTACTCTCTAAAATAAGAAAAAGAAAGTCTACACTTGTTTCTGCTTCTTCACTTCCAATTCACTCCTCAACTCTTCAATCTAGCATCTGTTCCCACCACTCCAATAAAACTGCTCTTGCCTGGCCAGCATGGCTCAGTGGTTGACCGTTGACCTGTGAACCAGGAGGTCAAGGTCCGATTTCCAGTAAGGCCACATGCCTGGGTTGCGGGCTTGATCTCCAGAAGGGGACATGCAGGAGGCATCCAATCAATGATTCTCTCTAATCATTGATGTTTCTCTCTCTCTCTCTCTCTCTCTCCCTTCCTCTCTGAAATCAATAAAAATATTTAAAAAAAACAAAACTGCTCTAGTCAAGACCACAGTCATTGTTTTGTCCCCATCCTACTCAACCTTCAGAAGCACTGAGTACAACTGAACACTCCTTCTTTGTTGAAATACTTTCATTATTTGGCCTTTACACTTTCCTGGTTTTCTTCCCTTTCTACCTCACCGACTACTCTTTCTAGTTACCTTTTCTATCTCCTTAGCTTGTAATTAACTTCTGAAAGCTGGAGTGCCTCAGAGCTAGGCCTTGGACCCTATTCTCTAATGCTCCAAGGACAAATGAAGTCTCCAGATTTCTCCCTGTAATCCAGAGCTATCTCCCAATAAGTACTGCCTACCTGGTATCTCCACAAAGCTACCCAACTGGCTTCCAAACTTACAACCCCCGATTCTCTCTCTAACTTATTTTTTTCTCTCAGTCTTCTTCTTTGTGATCATGGTATCTCCCCTGCCAGGTAAGTATCAGTCTTCTTCTTTGAATCTTTTCTCAATTCTCTAGGTCTCATAAGAGGGACAGCTGGGATTTAAACTGGGTCTTTTTAATATCTAAACCTGTGTACATTCCTTCATACTATGTGCTTCTACTACAAGTCCTGGGCAAGGTGGCCTTTAGGCAAGTGCAAATTGAAACAATTCACCTTAACATAATTGTTTTTGAGTTGCAGACCTTGGAAAACAATAGATGGGATCCTGTTTTGTAGTCACAGAAGTTTCCAAGTCTATTCTGGACAAAGTTATCAAACCAGGAAGAGATGGTAAAGATAATATGGGTTGGACAGAGGCACAGCTAAAAGGAGAAGCCAAGCCAGCTAGGGATCACTGTCAATTCAGCATCAACCATAGCAGGTTTCTCAACCGCGACATTATTGGCATTTGGGGCTGTGTAATTCTTTTTTTTTTTTTTAAATATATTTTAATTTATTTCAGAGAGGAAGGGAGAGGAAGAGAGAGACAGAAACATCAATGATGAGAATTATTGACCAGCTGTCTCCTATATGCCCCCTACTGGGGATCAAGCCTGCAACCTGGGCATGTGCCCTGACCAGGAATCTAAACGTGAGCTCCTGGTTCATAAGTCGACACTCAACCACTGAGCCACACCAGCTGGGCTGGGTGGGGCTGCATAACTCTTTGTGGCACTTTCCTTGTTGTCCTGTATATTATAGGATGTTTAGCAGCATCCTGAGCCTCTACCTACTGTATGCCAGCAGTACCCTTCTAGTTTTGATAACCAAAACTGTTTCTGGGAATTGCCAAATGTCCCCTTGAAGGTAAAATCTTCCATGCTCCACCTCCAACTGCACTACAGGGATGTACTCTGAGCTTTGTTCTGAAGGAAACAGAGAGAAACTTAAAAAAAAAGGATAAATAATAAAATATATCAAAAATTATGTTTTCAGATAATTTTTAGAGATATGGGAAAACAATAAAAGTATCAAAGGGTTTATCAAACTGTGTAAATGATACAAGATCCATCTGTAGGAAAAAAATTACATAAAAGCATGGAAAAAAAACAGGAATATTTAAGAATCATAATTATTATTCTATTGAATTAGCTTGCCAAGATCCAGGCACTATGTTAAGTGCTTCACACTAACCTTCTAATTTAATCATCACAATAATTCTGTTTTACCAATCAGGGAACTAGGGGTAACTTGAGCAATGCTATATAGCTGTGAAGACAGGTCTTGAAATTAAATGGATGAAGCTCCAATGTCCATCTCTTAACAAGTATTCTGCTTCATAACAAAGATAGTACACCCAACATTGACAAAGTTTATCTCTACACAATAGAATTAAAAGCGATTTTGTTTTCTTCTTTACATTTTTCTGTCTATTCCATATTTTCTACTATGATGTTTATTACCTCTATAATCAGAAAAAATATTAAGTAAAAGTTATGAAAACTACTTGGTAACAAGGAGAAAAAGAATTATTACATGTTAACTTGAAAAAAC